ACACCCACACACCCACAAAAAAACGCGACCTGCATCGACATGTCTCCCGGTCCCCCCACACCCATCCCGCCCCCCGGCACCCCCTTTTGCTCCACCCCGGGCATGCTCTGCCCCCCCCGGTTCGGGGGAGACCCGCTGGGATGAGGCAGTGGTGGCATGGGCGACCCGTCCCTCGCGAGCTGCATGGCTCCCGCCGGCCCCTGAGTCGGAACGGGGGACATCACCGCAGAGGATGGGGGTCCCGCGGTTGGGTACCCCCCCCCCTTGGGGCTCCCGCGGACGTCGTGCTGCGCCCGGGGTTGGGGCATCGGGCCGGCAGCGGCGGCGGGGGGCGGGGGGTTGAGGACGTGCCCGCCAGGCGGGGGCGGCGAATGGGTCAACTGCTGCTGTTGCCGCTGCCGCTGCTGCTGCTCTTGCGTGTTGTTGCCGGGCTGGTCGCCGTTGCGTTTTTGGGGCTGTTGTTGCTGTTGTTGTTGCTGCACCCTCTGCCCGAAGCTTTGCTCGTGCGCTAGCTGGCCCCGGAAGAGCTCCTCCTGCTTGTTTTTTTGGCGTCACGGCGGTATAAAGACGAGACGCAAACGCTTCAGGTCTCCCATCGCGACAGCAACACCACTCAAGAACCTCTCAATTTGCGCGAGGATCGTTGCTCATGTTCCTCTCCGGGGTAACCCAACATCGATTATACACATAGGCCTTTTAAGCAATAGGCTCTTAACCCAAGCCCCCGTTGTTGAAGTCAAAATATTTATTTCCATCCCTCTTTGAGCCTGTCTTTCTTCACCAATTCCCAATCTCTTTTGAAAAAGCGGAGGCACGGTCTGTGGTCCAGGGAAACGCGAGGAACAGCAGGGGTACGCACACACGAAAACAGGCGACCAAGGCCTTCGCCCCCGTCATAGCAATCAATCGTCCAGACAGAAACAAGCGGCACGCATAGTGTCAGCATACAGCGCAGATCGATGCCAGAGTTGCTCCCTTACCCTCTCTCCCCCCGAGTCAATTTCCAAAGCTCCTACGTATACCTGTACCGAAGAGATTGCCAAAATACCCAACCACCACTACGTTTTCGAACGCCACCCTTATCAGGACTGAATGCTCCCGCCGGTGCGAAAATGCCGATCGCAAAACATAAGGACTGGGGAGGAGGCTAAACCTAGGACCCTAGACAGCGAGCCGGGGCTAAAGCCGATGTAATGCCAAACGAAAATTTATCGAATCGAATCACCTGTTGCTGTAGTTGTTGATTCCTCAAAGCCTGCTGCTGCGCTTGCTGGGCTTGGATCAGCTGGGCTCGCAAAAATTTGTTGCTGATGTCGTGTCAACGGGACAGCAGCGGTAAAA